ACCTAAGACAGTTGAGCAACTAGAAGCCTGTATTAGACAAGAATGGGACAACATTCCTATTCCTAAACTTGAGCAACTTGTCTCCTCAGTCCCCAGACGTTTGCAGACCGTTATAAAAAGAAGAGGGGATGCCACACAGTGGTAAACATGGCCTTGTCCCAACTTTTTTGAGATGTTGATGCCATGAAATTTAAAATCAACTTATTTTTCCCTTAAAATGATAAATTTTCTCAGTTTAAACATTTGATATGTCATCTGTTGTATTCTGAATAAAATATTGAAATTTGAAACTTCCACATTGCATTCTGTTTTTATTCACAATTTGTACAGTGTCCCAACTTTTTTGGAATCGGGTTTGTATTTAAACTGATATGATATTCTGTTTTCCATTGCATCATATCTGCTGAATACAATCCAATATGTGTATCCTTCTGATTTGAGGGTGCCGATTCCAAAAATACTGCCTGTTTTGCTCTAGTGTGTCATACTTTCCCACAAAATATGCATTTTGTAACATTTTTGGATTTGACTACCATTTGTAAAGTGAAGAAGTCTCATATAATCCCTTAATCACCAGAACTAAATGACATTCCTATCTTCCTCTGAGCCAGATTACAACTATTTGTTAAATTCTCAGCAGATTTTCACATGTATGAATGATTTTGAAGTTTATGGTAAATCCAGATTTCCTTAAACTTTTGACATTTGACTGATTTTGTTCACTTTATAAGCGCATTAAAGCTGAAAACATGATGTACATAAAGGGTTGTATTGCTTTGCCCAGCATCATCAAAACAGGTAATATTATTTTTGCAAATCAGCAGATTTTGCTGTGTTCTATGCACAATATAACAATTTAAAACCAGATTTAAAGTATGCACTCATTTATGACTAACATGCTTGCGGTTACCAGAGGCTGATTATTAATTAAAGTGATTAAATATGTCTATGACTAAACCACACTCATAATGTAAATGAGTCGGTGAATACTTTTACTTATGAAAACATCTCAACATCATCAGCAAGAGTGATGTGAAGCTGCAGAAATACATTTGGATCTGGATCTGGATTCTAATTCTGTGTCTAACCTCGGTTCTAGTTCCAGCTCAGTCTCTGGTTCTGATTCTAATTCTGTCTGTGCTGTGAAAGACACCTACGCTCATGAGGACCGCATGCATGGCATTCCTCTCCTCCGCGTGCTCACTTCGCAGATCTGCAGGGATGAGAGTCAACAGCGAGTCCCAAAGAGCCTTTCCCAAAACTCCCGTCTCATTCCGTGCCCACAGCTCGTTCCACTAACCCACATTACGAAGAAACCTACAGATCACCCGTGTTACCAACACAGCCAACGCGCTCCATCAATACCTGAGATCCACTGTTTATCACGCATGCACATGCAAACGCTTCTATAAAGATATAACAGAACACGTTAGGCAAAACAAACCAATCTCAAGTGCTGGTTGCATGCGAGTATATATGAGGATAGCCTATTAAGCGCACAGGAGCGCACAGCTCCGTTACGCGCTCCGGCGCACTGAAAAACAACATTCCTACACATGTGCCACATTGAATACTGCAGTTTGGATTCAGATTAAACACCCTCATCATTCTCTTACCGTAAAGTCCAACACGAAGGCAGTTTTTTCAAGCGCACGGATGATTATGATCCGGTAGTCGGGAGCGCAGAACGCGCCGGGCGGCTGGTGAAAGCTGACCGCTGCTGCTGGAGGAGGTGGAAACTGGAGGATATGTGTTGATCTGCAGATTTACTCCTCTGTCAGGGGCTCACCCGCTTCTCCGGGGTTTTCCGTGTGTTCAGAGCCGCCTGGCGACCATTTCTGAAACTAGACGAACGAGTGAGTGAGTGTCCAAAGCACAGCCTTAGCCTAATGCAGTTTTTTTTTAATGACAGATACAGGTTCTTTCTCCAGGGGGCGCGCAGTGGCTCAAAATGCTGGATTCTTTTATTGAAATCCATTAAAACCATAGAAATGTTTTATTTATTGAAGATATTTACAAAAAAAAATGTGATGTAGCTATGGTTCTAGCTCTGTCGGTCTCCAGGTCTGGATGTAATACCGTCTCCAAACATTGCTTAGTTCGGTAAAACGCTTTGCGTGTGAATACAAAAAAAAAAATTATATATGGATTAATTATTATTTGAGTTCCGCCTCTAACTCTGATTCCATTTTAGTTCTGTCTCTAACTTTGTTGACTTTAGTTCTCAAGGTCTGCTGATTCTCCAACTTTTAGCTACTAATACGGTCTAGTTGTAGTTTTAGTTCTTTGATATGAATGTATGCTCTAGTTATGCTCAAACTGGACGCCGAAACACCTCATCCAGTATTAATCACAAACGCCTGTGATTGGTCCATCCTGAATAGCGCAAAGAAAATGAGCAGGTGCCACGTGATCAGCAAAGCTCCACCGTTTCCTCAACGGAGGTCTGAACAATAATTTACACTTGAGTAATTACACTAAAACAATGTATTATTTAATTGAAACTAATTATTGATGAGTAGAAGGAACGTAAATAATATAATTATTATTTAAACCCATAAGCCCCGCCCATTTTACACACTCTTTCATGCTATGTATCATTCTACACTTTGATTCTGATTTTTTTGTTTAGTTTTACAGCATCTCTTCAGCACAGACGTTTTAAAGAATACGTTTTATTAAATGCATTAACACAATTAAATCATTATTATCAGCACCAATACAAACTGAAAAAAGAAAAACGACTATTTATGTAAAATAATAATTAAGTGGAGATGATTAAGTAATAAAATAAAAGTTATTAAATATATAAATCAGTTTAATGGTTAATCTAATCTAAGATTCATTTTTACTTTTTGACGTCATTTTTACATCAGTATACAATAGTAACGTCACAATGCTGGGGCAAGTTCAAGCTCAAACCGGTGTGCACCGTTTTGCTACGGTTTCCGGTTTCAACGACATGTTTCCTGGAAACGGTGTGCAACGGGGTTTGAGATGGGTTTTCTCTTGTTTGGTGGGTGTGTCAAACATGTCAGCCCAATCAGCAGCAACATGTATATAAACCAAGCGGTATTAAACATCCAAATAAATTCACAAGAGCAAGTATATTGTTTGCACATGTTTATTTACATTAAAGGCAAAATAATTGAAATAATAAAGGCACAAGTCTGGAACTTCTTTTTTAAGTCCGTCTAAATATCATTTCGTAATTGCAATGTCTTCTGGTCCATATCCTTTATTTAGGAAGGTGTGCTAAATACTGATTAATGTAACATAAAAATACTACACATATTTATATATTTTGCTATTGTATTATGGAGTGACACTTTCATAAACTGTTCTATACCCCTCTGATTATATAATAGTAAATATTACAATATCATAGCACAACAACAGCGATCAGCAATAATGATAAGCCGAATACTCACAATAAAACTAATAAGGTCATATAGATCATAACACAGACTCGGAGGTAAGCAGTGGATTATCCTTCACCTGAAATGTTTGTCTTTTCATCCTGAAATGCGAGGCAAATGTTGGATCACAATAATTAGGAACCACAGTTTCCACAAATCCCTTCATTTGATTGGGATGTTCTCTTTTATTCTGGAGGGCAAGGGCAGTGACTGTAACATTGAGCGTATTTTGCAGTATTAAACATGTATTTATACTGATTTCATCAGGCTCCGAGAATTCTTCAACAAGAACACAAAGAATGGCCTTCTCAGCTGCCATAGCTGCAACTCTTGCGCCATCAGAACAGGGTGTTCAACGCACCACCGTTTCCGTTTAAAACACGTTTTGCACCGTTTTTGTCGGAGCTGAACGCACCCCTGTTCTCTCAGATTGAATAAAATAAAAGAGGCGCCATCTGCTGGTTAAAATCCTTGGTGAACCCTTTTTTAATTCATTTCTACGTTTTTATTTTACAGTTTTGTATTGTTCTGGTAGGCTACATCTGTAAAGCACACACATTCTGATCCTATTATCTCTGTTTGTTTATTTATGGGTGTGCTGTAATATCCATGGTGATATGGTATCACTGCAAAATGGACTTTGGACATATTTTAAAGCATCACACTAAAAATAAATATAGCATTCAGGAAATACACAACATTCATGTAATATAAATATGTTTTTTGACCTATGATGAGTTTTTGATGTCTATGCAACTAATATAGATAGGCTTATTCTTTTCATTTTTTTAAGTTATCTAATGAGCTAAATGCAACATATTTTTTTTATTTAATCTGCCTTTTTCCTTTTCTTTTGCATTCTTTTGAAATGTATTTTTATTTCAATCACTACAAAGCTAACGATAATAATCTTTAAATAAAGTTTGAAACCAATTTAAAATGTATATTAATTTGAAAAGAATGAAGAATATCTCTTATGAACATTGCTGCTATTTTCATATTAATTATGCCCATAAGGATCATAAATGTTATGCCCAAGGCCATAATTCATGTGCCCTGTGGTAAAATTATAAAAAATATGGCTCCTGTAACACCAGTCCTGGTTACACCTCAGCAGTAAAGCAGGACTTCTGTCCCATCAGAGGATGATTTCTTAATCTTCTCTTTCTAATCAAACCCACGTCACTGTCTTTATGATGTTGTGCGCTCCAATATAAATGCCATGACCACAAGAGCAGCTGTCTGTGACTGTACAGACGATTACTTTATGACTTGATTGCCCTCCTAGTGATGAGTTTCATTATGAGCCTATCTGCAATCAGCTTTCCCCAGCCAAGACCAAACCTTTGCCATTGCAGGGAAACACCAGGTACTGCTTTCAGATCAGTGACAAAGTACAACCTATACAACACCATTTATTACCCCAGCAGCCACCAACTCCTCACTTCCTCCCAAGATCTCCCATTTTAAGATCTCCCATTTTCCAGTCACAAAGCGACAGGAATCAACCGGTCTGCTTGACAAGCTTAAAAACTTCTCAGCCGAGGACCTAGAAAAAAAGACCACCGTTCCACAGAAACCATGCCGTCCTCAAAGAAACTAACGCATTTCTTGTCAAGTGCTGCTTTATGTGCAGCTGGAGTGGCTGTACTGGGTTTCGGGATGTCGACGAACTGGGCCCAAGCTAACATGGACTGTGCTCCGATCGACAGTGAAGAGTTCAGTGGATCCTCCAGTCTCCAAATTGGGCTTTTCAATGGCACAGAGACCAAAATCGCCTGCCCTAGGATTGACAAACTTGGAGTTAACGTGCCTGGTGAGTTTCAAATAAGGGTTCAATTAATTTTCTACATGCTAGATTATGCAGTTTTACATTTTCAAGTATAAACATATAATATTACAAATTAAGTAATATATGTATCCAAGCATGTTAACAGAAAGTTGAGTGGAAGGAAAAAGTGTGGAAGATAAAGATGCACAACCAACCGAGAGAACCTTATGAGTCCTTATGAGGATTGTCAAGCAAAATCGATTTAAGAATTTGAGTGAACTTCACAAGGAATGGGCTGAGGCTGGGGTCAAGGCATCAAGAGCCACCACACACAGACGTGTCAAGGAATTTGGCTACAGTTGTCGTTTTCCTCTTGTTAAGCCACTCCTGAACCACAGACAACGTCAGAGGCGTCTTACCTGGGCTAAGGAGAAGAAGAACTGGACTGTTGCCCAGTGGTCCAAAGCCCTCTTTTTAGATGAGAGCAAGTTTTGTATTTCATTTGGATTTTCATTTTCAGACTCCAAGGTCTTAGAGTCTGGAGGAAGGGTGGAGAAGCTCATAGCCCAAGTTGCTTGAAGTCCAGTGTTAAGTTTCCACAGTCTGTGATGATTTGGGGTGCAATGTCATCTGATGGTGTTGGTCCACTGTGTTTTTTGAAAACCAACGTCACTGCACCCGTTTACCAAGAAATTTTGGAGCACTTCATGCTTCCTTCTGCTGACCAGCTTTTTGAAGATGCTGCTTTCATTTTCCAGCAGGATTTGGCACCTGCCCACACTGCCAAAAGCACCAAAAGTTGGTTAAATGACCATGGTGTTGGTGTGCTTGACTGGCCAGCAAACTCACCAGACCTGAACCCCATAGAGAATCTATGGGGTATTGTCAAGAGGAAAATGTACAGTACCATTAAGGTACAAAAATTTACCTTTAAGGCTTACTATACCTTTAAATGTACCGCCCCAGTCACAGTCTTTGTGCCTTTTTTTCTGAGTGTTCAAAATGAAGATAAACAATATTGTGTCACATTGTGGTTGAGAAATGTGAGTGGAAAGTGATTCTCTACACCTGTGTAAACTATAGGAAAACAGACTTTATACAGCCACTAAAAATGACCTAAAAACACCAGCTGATTAACAGACATTGAGCAAAATGGTGATGAAAAGTTGTGAGAAAAGATTCTGCAGCATCTGAGTACAGATGCCAACTGTTTCGATATTTTGTAATCTAAACACATTCATATGTTTTTAAATGAGGAATAAGTGTCCAAATACCGTTTGGGGCTACTAAATATGATATTAATACCAAGAAGCACAATGAAAAAAAAAATAATGAAAAGCTAGATCTAAGATGACCTTTGGAATTTGCCATTCCATAAAAATCACATGACCGTTTTATGTCTGGAATTCGTCAAAGGTTATGTCATTTTATTTCAATCGACATCTTTCATGTAAAAAATCAACGTTTTATGCATTCTTCAATAACATCATAATATAATGTATTTTCTCTTGCTCTCTGGCACTTAGTGTTCGAACGGCTAGGGAAATTAGCAGGCGCTCCGATCATCCTGCACGCTCTGGTTGTCATCCTGTTGGCTCTGGCTCTTTTGGGGTCTGCAGGCAGTATTCTGGTCACACTGTACAACAGCTTCAGTAACCCATATCAGACCTACATGGGACCAATAGGACTGTACACATGCAGTGGACTCAGTGGTGAGCAAACACACACACTCTCACTTATGCCAACAAACTAAAATATTTCAATCTCAAACACTATTTTGCTTGCATTTGACCTCTTCATTTTAACTCTTCGTTTAACTCTTTTTAATTGTCTAAAACGTTGATTATAAAGGGTGTTTGATTATACACTTTTGATTATATTAGGTTTAAATGATTATAAAAGTGGTCCCAAGACCTTAGCTTAGGGTTGTTGTGACATTTACTGTTACTCTGCTAAATTTTGTGTGAGAAATCCAGTCATGCAATAAGAATCCACAAGATCGTATGGATCATATGGTAATTCCATCTTTCTGTCTCACAATTTAAACTGAATTCAGTGTTGTGAGATAAAAAAAACTCACAATTCTGACTTTATATCTACAGTTCTATAAGCTAAAAACTTTCTTAGAATTGCGAGATATTAGCTAAGAACTGCCAGACATAAACTCTTCTGAAAAAAGTCATACAGAGTTTATATATCACAATTATGATATTATTATATTACAATTCTGAGAAAAAAAATACACTTTTTTTCAGAAATGCAAGATATAAACTCATAATTCATACTTTTTTCTCAGAATTGCAACTTTCTGTCTCCCATTTCAGACTTTTTTCTCACAATTCTGAGAAAACAAACAAACAAACATTTTTCTTCAGATTTACGATAAAGAAGTCTGAACTGAGATATAATCTCAGAATTGTAAGATATAAAGTCAGAATTCTGACTTTTTTCTTTCTTTTTTTATACTTTATTATGTCTTTCAGTTCAAGCGCATTTAATACAGTTATACAAATGAACATTTCCTTTCAAGACATCATATTTTTTACCAATAGCTATTCCTCATTTTTCCTTCTACTTTCTCTTCCTTCACTTTTTTTCCTTTTGTCATAATACCCATCACCAACGCATAAAAAATGAATAATTAAATAAGTAAAAAATAAAAATAACAATAATTAGAACAATAAACAATGCATACAAAAACACTTTTTCATATGAAAAATAGAGAGAAAAAAACATCTTATAACACTCTTAAACACTCTTATAATGACACCTAATTCCTAATAAGTAATTCAAATAATATTATTTAAAACTAATTAATAATAATCTTAAATTATTAAAATAATAAATGAAAATAAAGTTCAAAGGGAGGCAGAATTATATAAGAAGGTAATGAGTATACGTATCCCTTTATTTTATAATATATATTTAAGATTTTTAAGGTGCCCATATCTTTTAAAAAATATATATATACACTATTCCTTTTAATTTTATATGTTATCCTCACCATAGAGTGTACTTTAGAAAGTAAATCTAACCAATCATTTAAAACTGGGGATTCTTGCCTTCTCCAAAATTTTGTATAAAAATATATAGTATAAAAATTCTATAAAAATGTAAAAAAGTATTTTAAAAAAATTATTTCAATTCAAAGTTTATATCTCAAAATTCTGACTTTATACTGTATCTTACATTTCTGAGAAGAAAAATAGTTGTATCTCAACCAAATATTGTCCTATCCTAACAAACCATACATCAATGGAAATATTATATATTCAGCTTTGAGATGGTGTATAAATCTCAATTTTGAAAAATTGACACTTAAGACTGGTTTTATGGTCCAGGGTCACATATTGTTGTGCACTTTTTAGAGCTATACCATCAAAGCATTGAAGTACTAAAATAACTCAAACTAAATAAACTAAAATAAAGAACAATTCATAAAAACTATTTAGACCTTTAATAAATAAACAACAACAACAATAATAATAATAATGACAAAAACTCAACTAAATCACAAAAATGTTAACCAAAATTAAACTGAAAACAAAAAATATAAATATAAATAATATAATAATATAAAAATAAAATCTAACAAAAAAATATGAAAGTATATAAATGATACTTAAATAACTCTGATCTAATGCAATATCCAAAAATAGATTTCTATTCCTGAGAGATTTTAACGACTAACCAGACATTTTTCACTTAAAGGGTTAGTTCACCCAAAAATGAAAATTAGGCTGTGTTTTACTCACCCCCGAAGCATCCTAGGTATATATGACTTTCTTCTTTCAGACGAATCCAGTCGGAGTTATATTAAAAATTGTCTTTGATCTTTCAAGCTGTTTAATGGCACTCAGTGGGTGTTGTATGCATCAGTCCAAAAGAACTTAAATAAAAAGCGCCCATCCATAAAAAAAATGTCCCACACGGCTCTGGGGGGTGAACAAAGGCCTCCTGTAGCGAATCAATGCGTTTTTGTAAGAAAAATATCCATATTCAAAACGTAATAATCACTTTAATGTAGCTTGCGCCAACAGTCCTACACGGAAGCAGCTCCGGG